CACACACACACACACACACACACACACACACTTAAGAAATGCTGATCTCATTCGGAATCAGCGTTGCAACCCTCCTCCTTAAATAACTGTTTGCTGCCGTCATCCTCCACCACCGTCTTGCGCTGCTGTTTTTTTTTTTGAGCTGGTGCAGCGTGCGCTTCGGTCTTGTTCTTTCGAGCCCAGCCACGAGCACGTTTGGGCTTTGCAGGGGCGTCCTGTGATGGCTCCTTTCTCTTCCTGCCCACCCTGCTCACCCACAGGTTGTCATGTTGGACAGTCTTGTTTATCTCAGGGAATTTCGGTATCTTATCTGCAGACTCCGGAGAGTCAGCTGGTCGTAGCCTACGTGTGTACACAGCTGTTGCTGTGGACTGGGGCTTGTCTACGTGGGCCTTTTCTACCACGTCATGCTGCAACTCCTGCTGCACCATCCCCTCCCCCTCTTCTTGCTGCTCCATCTCCTCTTCCTCATGCGGTTGCACCACGTCTTCACACTCTTCTTGCTGCTCCATGTCCTCTCCCATGTCCTCTCCCTCCTCTCGTTGCACCACATCGTCCCCCTCTTCTTGCTGCTCCATCTCCTCTCCCTGCTCTGGTTGCTGCTGCTCCTCCTCTTCTACCTCTTCCACGACCCCCAACGCCCAATCCATATGCTATTGATGCTCCAAGGCGTTTTCCTGGCCTCTCTCAATCTCTCTACAGGTTGGGATAGCTGGACAGCGGGCCTCCTCCTCCATCATACGTTTTCGGACTAGGTCGCTGTCCCTGTCAGCCATAGCCTTGGCACGGTTGGCATCCTCTTCATCTTCGTCAACCCCGGTTTGCAGCAACATCTCAAGGTCCGTATCAGCCTGTGCAAAGTTGACGTCGAGCTCCGGATCGTACTGTCCTGTTCCCCCTACCGTGGCCGGTGTTGCTGTCAGGCATGGCTCCTCTCTACACTGTCATCCAGTTCACCTCCTGCCTACATACGTTGTGCCCGGGACTGCAGGCTCCGGTTGCAGCTCAAAATCAGACTCAACATAAGCCTCCTCTTCGCTGGCACTTGAGTCGTCTGATGCTCCACACTTCCCCTTCCACAGCTCATTGTCCAAATCATTGTCGTCTGTGTGCTCTTCCTCATCGTCCTCGAGATTCTTGGGAATCCTTCCCTTTGGAATCTTCACGAACCTCCTTTCCCGCACAAGCTCCTCCTCTGTCTTCTCGGCCTCGTCCTCGGGCCCCTTCAACAATTATCCGTTGTCCTCTTCAGGCTCCGGGACAAGCTCGACGAACAAACTCCACAAATTCACATAGCCTCGTTCTTAGTCTCTGGAAGACACAATAGTTGCATGTTCCAGTGGATGTAGACGAGCTTCTGCACGCTCTCCAGCGCCAAGCTATTCCTTCGTTCGGAGTGGACGAAGTCCATGGAAGCCCAATTCCTCTCCGCCGGTGTTGCGGTGCCCCACATGCCCATAACCTTGATCGCAATCTTCTGCAATTCGGTCCAATCGCCGCCATGTGCTGCCCACCACTCTGGCGGTGTTTTCTTCTCATTATCTGCCTTCACTGTGGGGTCCCGCATCTTTGTGTCCTTCCTCTTTGGGTCATTCCTTGTGGGCTTGGAGTGGAACTCAGCCATGTCACCCCAAATATCAACGTGCTCCGACACTTTCCAAGCACCTCTGATCTGCCTCGAAAGGAAACGCATCGCATTCTGCACAAGCGCGCTGTCTTGATCGTGCAGCCACCTCGGCTCTTTCTTGTATGGGTCCCAAAGATGTTAATGAGCGGACGGGTTGCCGCATCATCTTGATGCGATCTTTAACTCTCTCCATTATGCTCACCCGCTACCCCGCCCTAAAAACAATGTGCACAAACTTCCTCTCTATGAGGTCGTCATACTCTACGAGGTTTGTGGGAGAAGTCCCGTCCTGATCCATCCGCCTCAAAAGGCTGTACACGTTCTCCATCACCCCAACCACCTTGTGCAACTCCATCCACCAATTGTCATTCCGCGACGTGATGTACACCAAATCTGCTCTGGCCTTCAACTTCGCAGTAGACCACCGCATCGCCTTCCATTTTCCTTCATTCCATCCATCAACCATGTCCTTCAACACCGCCCTCCTATTCTACGACATTTGGTAAACAGACCCAAAGCGAACCTATGTAGGCCGAAGCAGAGACAACAAATCATCCAAGGACTTCGTCAGACTTTGTGTGGTGTGATGATTTTTGATGAACTTGATGATCGTGTGGCCCCTCTTCACAGTGTTCTTAACCCAATCGAGCTTGTTGAGGTCCCGTAGAAGAAGGCTGCAACAATGCACAGCACAAGGAACCCAGGGGATCCTTGCAATGTCCTTGTCTGTTCGGCGCTCCAAGATCTGAGCGACCCTTTTGTTCACCTCCGCATTGTCAGTGCAGATCGCATTGATATAATGCACCCCAATTTCCCTCATAATTTGCTCCCACAAATTTTGCCAATACAGGTGTCGTCTTCTTCCTCCCTGTCATTGACACCGTCACCACCAAGACTGCACCACTTTCCCCAGCAGCCAAGAAGTTCATCACAGGCCACTTGCGACGATCGCTCGACCCATCTGTGATGAAAGTAAATCCAGTCACAAATGCTCCACGGACTTCTATACACGCATACAAATGAAGTCCAACATCATGGTTCTCATGTGCCTGTACAAGGGCAATTTCACCTGCGGTCTAGCATTTGCCACCTGCAAGTACACCTCATGGAGTTTTTGAGTGATCTCGAAATTGAGGAAGTTGAATGGAATTCCAGCACGAAACATTGCATCCGCCCACGCAACGTCCAATTTCTTATGCGCATCGTTGTCCACCCACCTCCTTATCATCGACTGTTGCAGAGTACACACTCGTGTGTTCAACCCTGAACCCTCTCCCAACCCCCCGTCCAAAGCATTAACATGCTGCAAAGCTCCTGGATCAGTTTTTGCGGCAGCCCTGCCTGCAGTGGGCGGTGGTTGTGGCTCCAAGTATCCGGGGAGATCATCATCCACCTTGGTTGTCTCCGTCGCAACGACCTCCCCCTCCGAAATCCCATGCAGCTGCCTGTAATTTTTTAGGAGGTACTACGTATTCTTGTCGCCCGGCGGCATCTTCCCCCCAGCAGCGACGAGCTCGTTGACAATCTCCCCTGTTCTCAACGGACATGGCTTTTGCGGCTTCAGGTAATGCTCGACTGCCCTTGTGCTTGTACCCCTCCAAATTTGTGAGCACAACCGACGCCTCACCCAATACTCGCCTCATGCATTCAGTCGAACCTCATGTCCTTGTTCCGCATACTTCCACACCTTTTTTTCCTTCTGCAGCTTGTCCTGCCTCGTCTCGTCCTGTGGAATGAACTGCAAGGGGTCCATTGTCGGCGTGGGGTCTTTGGAGGTCACCGTCGATGCACGTGTACCGGGACTGCTTCCAACTTTGCCCTTTCCTTTGTTTGCTGTTGTTGCGCCCCTCGTCGTTCCAAACCTGCCATTCCCCTCAACGACATTGCTGCCACTACCCGCCATGATGTCATGGAAGAAGAGGATGCGAGGACAAGCAAAGAAGAGGGGGGGGAGGAGGGGGGGGGGGGGGGGGGGGGGGGGGGGAGAATAGCGGAGGAGGAAGGAGAAGAAGACGAAGAAGAAGAGGAGGGGGATGGAGAGGAGGAGGAGGAGGACGAAGAAGAAGGGGAGCCTGAGGAGGAAGAAGGGGGGGGAGTGATGGTGTCAAGTAGTCCCAAGATGCCCTCGTTCTTTTTTCTTAAGCGGAGGGGGGGGGGAATGGAGATGGAGGGTGGCGGTGGAAGACAATCGACAAGGAGTTGGACAAGCGACTATGGAGAAGAAGAAGAAGAAGAAGAAGAAGAAGAAGAAGAAGAACGGAGAACGAGGCGAAAGAAGAAGAAGAAGTGGAAGAACAATGGGGGTTGGTGATGGCGTCAAGTGGGAAGACGACAGAGGAGAAAGAAGAAAGGGGAAGGAGGAGGAGAAGAAAGGCGGGAGGAAGTAAAAAGGCGGGAGAAAGGCAAGATGGCGGGTGTGACGAAGTTTCCCAACAAAAGATGGGAGAAAACTTTCCCGACAAGGGGGAAGAAGAAGAAGAAGACGAAAGGGGGAAGAGGAGAAAGGAGAAGAAAGGTGGGAGAAAGGGCAAGGTAGCGGGTGAGAGGAAGTTTCCCGACAGGGGACAGACGGGTGAAACTATCCCGATGAGGGGGAAGAAGAAGAACAAGAAAGGGGGACGAAGAAGAGGCAGATGGCAGGTGGTAGTAGATGGAGGGCGCTTCTAAACAGCGGCCGGACGTACCAGATGGCGGGCGCTTCCAAATAGATGGCGAGCTGTTCACGAGGAATCAGGGAGTTGTCGGGCGAGGGTAGGTATCCCGATGTTGACGGCGACACAGCAGCAATCCGTGAAAAAAAAAAGGGCGGGAGGTCGGGAGGGGGAAAATGTCGGGAGTAAAGTCCGAGGTAGGACTGCTAAGGACAAGGAAGAAGAAGAAATGAAAGGAAGAAGAAGAAGTAAGGAATAAGAAGGAGGAGGAGGACTTCGAGCACGGGAGGTTGGCTGCGAAGGCCACGCGTCAAGCCAAGGAAATATGTCGGTTGTGGAGTTTCGCGAGTGGAGGAAGAACAAGCAGAAGATGAAGAAAGGAGAAGCAAGAAGAAGAAGAAGAAGAAGAGCAATAAAGGAGGACAAAGAAGATGAAAGAAGAAAAAAGAAGAACAAGAAGAAAAAAGAGGAAGAAGAATAAGAAGAAGAAGAATGGAAGAAGCAGTCTGGCAGGGGCGCAGGGGGAACCTACGTTCAACAACCGGGCATGACAGGGGGGGTGTTCCCAGTGTGGCAAGAGCTTGGAGTTGACGGCCTTCTGATGACGGGGGGCAATGACAACCCTTTAGCGGCTGATAACGGCCGTCAATCTTCGATGATTGCCAGTTGATAACATCAGGCACGAAAGGGGCCCCATTGCCCCTCAAATGTTTTTTTTTAACCTACCTGTTCAGTTTGGATACATGCGGTGGGCGTCGGGAGGCCACCTGGACCTGCCCAGCTCCTCCCGACCCCCCGCTCACAATGCGCTGGGCCCGTCCAGTGGTTGACCGGGGGACCCAACTGGCCGGGCCACCCGCGGCCCCCGTCGGGCAATGGTCAGGCGACCGGGCGGCCCAGCAACCAGGCGTGACAGGGGGGTGTTCCCAGTGTGGGAGGAGCTTGGAGTTGACGGCCTTCTGATGACGGGGGGCAATGACAACCCTTTAGCGGCTGATAACGGCCGTCAATCTTCGATGATTGACAGTTAATAACATCAGGCACGAAAGGGGCCCTATTGCCCCTCAAATGTTTTTTTTTAACCTACCTATTCAGTTTGGATACATGCGGCGGGCGTCGGGAGGCCACCTGGACCTGCCCAGGTCCTCCCGACCCCCGCTCACAATGCGCTGGGCCCGTCCAGTGGTTGACCGGGGGACCCAACTGCCCGGGCCACCCGGGGCCCCCGTCGGGCAACGGTCAGGCGACCGGGCGGCCCGACAACCAGCACAGCTCAAAAGCACTATATAAAACTCTATTCAATTTTTTCCCCGAATTCGGTGTTTTTGCCAACTTTTTCGTTACTGGTCCAAATACGTCGAAACTGAATACAGATATATACCCTAAAGCACATACATGTCACACACACACCCCAAAAACAAAAAACAAAAAACAAAAAGAAAAAAAAGCAAAAATTCAGGGAAATA